TTTGCCAATTCTCTCTTCAATTCTTCAAGACTCCAAGAAAAAATGAAGAACTCAAGCTCTCTCTCACGTTTGGTCTCTCAAGAAGGGTGATAAAAAGTGAGGCCAACACATGTAAAGCAAGACTAAACATTGTCTAGCAAAGTCCACTTAATGGCACTCAGGTAAATAAGTCTAACTTATGTGATTTAACACTATTTAATCCAATTTAATCATACCAAATCAATTTTCAATTAAAAATACCATAAAATCACATAAATGCTAATTAACATAAATCACTAATCAATTTCAGATTCGGTCGCCGATAAGGCCTTCAATTTGTAATTTAAACATAATATATGAATAGATAATTTAATAGTCAAACAGATAGACATGCATTTAAACTAACACACTCAATCAATTAACTCAGGATTTCAATCAATTCAATTATTTATCATGATCAGTCTCAGTTTAGCAGTAATCAGTGGTGTTATCAGTAAACAGGAGTGAGGGTTGTCACAACACCTCACCTTTCCATTCTCATCCAAAAAATAAATCAAAAAAATTAAAAAAATGAAGTACAAAAGGACATTCACTTAAACTCAAATGGTATCAAATCAAATATATACAACTTTCCAAAACAAAAAGGACTAATTGGTTCATAAAAAAATTCTTAAAACTAAATGGATCAATATTGCCCCATATAAAATTTATGGGTAATTTTTTCAAAAAATATTGGATGAAATGAGATGTCATATGTTACCAGTCAATAACATACATAATGAAATTACATGAATATTTTTGTCTTTTATTAATTTATAGAGTCTTTACTGTTGCAATATTAAATTTCTCATTATTAATGATATAATAAATCTAGAAACAAAAATATATTGATGAATCAGATTTTTTGAAAGTTGGTGTTGTTGGAAAGACAAACTCCATTTGAGTTTGGTGAAGGACAATTCCAGAGAAGATAAGAACAAGCAAGAGATTGCTGAAAAGTTCTAGAGAGAAGAAAAGAAAGCCAAAATGAAGAAGAATATGAAGTTTCAAGGAAGCTCCATTGTTGAAGCTTAGAGATGAAGAAACACTGTGCACAGGGTTTGTACATGAATTGAAAATCTGTAAATAGATGATGACAGTTTGATGTATTAAAATCAATAAAAATCACACAATTAAGAAACCCATAAAAGGTTTGAGAGATAGAGATGTGAGAGATAATAATCCACAAAATTGTATTTGTTATTCTGAGAAATAAAATTCTTTCAATTGTTTATGTGTGAGACATCACTAATTTATACAAAATATATAAAAGCCCACCAACAGTGGTATCAGAGCTAGAAGAGCTAGTTTGGACCAAAATTTTGAAGAAACATAGAAGAAATAGAGAGTTTTCAAATTTGCTCAGATTTCAAAGGTGTCGAAATCAATATTTGAATATTTGCCCAGATTGCGAAGGTGTTGAAATCAATATTTGAATATGCTAGATGGTTTGTGTCGACTAGAGGAGTCCAGAACCATTAACCAGAAGAGCCAAGAAGTAGGCGAAGTTCGCCGGGAAATGCGACATCCAAAAACAAAAATTATTCAAAATTATTGAAATTCAGTTTTGTGTATACCAGATTAAAGTACTAGTCAAGAGGATTCCGACGGTATAAAGAACGACTCAAACGAACTCCGAATAAACTTATATGGTTGCTGAGAAGTTGAACACGTACATAGTACTCATCTTTCCCATAATTCTAAAGTTGTAGAACATCCAAAAGAAATTATTTAGTGCTTTGCGATTGAATTGGAACCATTAATCTAAACCGTCCAATCTATTTTAGCTAAATCTAAGCAATTTGGAGTCCAATCGCAACGATCCAATAGTGTTTTTCAACTATTTGGAATATTTTGGACACATTCGTACGGTTTGATTTTACAAATTATATACTTGTAATTTGCAGATTTTATTTGAAGATATGAAGTGAAAAAATATTCTTCAAAGGGGGAGTCAAAAAATACAACAAAGAAGACATCACAGAAAGGTGATAGAAGACGTCTTAGATATCGTAGACGAGACAAGCAAATAGGTGGTTGCTCTAAAACATTGAAGAGAGAATATATCAACAGTATGTTGATAGCCCCGAACAATAGGGGGTTGCTCAAAGAGAGATAAAAGCCAATAGAGGATTGATTACTAAGACTAGACAATAGGTTATCCTTGAGCAGATATTAAGTATTGTGTAGAGAATCCAACAAATTGAGTTTGAGGGGATGTTGAAAAGAGAAACTCAATTTGAGTTTGGTGAAGGAGAATTTCAAAGAAGAGGAGAATAAGTAAGAGACTGCTGGAAAGTTTCAAAGAGAAGAAGAGGAAGCTAAAATGAAGAAGAAAAGGAAGTTTCATGGAAGCTCCATTATTGAAGCTTAAGAATGAAGAAACACTGTGCACACATGGTTTGTACACGACTTGAAAATTTATAAATAGATAGGTTATGTGATTGTTTTAGATAGAGTCGGAAAAATGTAATCTCCAGAGAGAAACACAACATCTCAAAATAAGGAAAATTCTAAGAGAGTAGAGAATTTGAGAGTTAACATAGAAATAGCTCTATTTTTTATAATTTATTTGTGACTGAATAAAATGAGTATTTATTTAATTAATTACTCTCTTTATATACCATCACAACCGGTATACATCCTTCTCCCACTTTTCTATCAATGGTATCAGAGCCAGTTTGGGATAAAATATTGAAGAAATTTTGAAAAAAACAGAGTGCCATTTCAAATTTGCCTAGATTTCAAAGGTGTCGAAATCGATATTTGAATATACCAAAGGGTTTGTGTCGATTAGAGGAGTCCAGAACCATTAATTAGAAGAGCCAAGAAGTAGCCGAAGTTCGTCAATAAATGCAACATTTGAAGACAAATTTTTTTTTGAAGTTATCGAAATTTAGTTTTGAGTATACTGGATTAAAGTACTCGTCGAGGGGATTCTAACGGTACAAAGAACGGCTCAAATGAACTCCGAATGAAGCTGTATGGCTGCCAAGAAGTTGAGCGCATACATAACACTTGTCTTTCCTAGAATTCTGAAAGTTGCAGAACATTCAAGAGAAATTGTTTAGTGCTTTGCGATTGAGTTACAACTGAAAATCTGAACCGTCCAATCTATTTTGGCTAAATCTAAGCCATCCGGAGTCCAATTGCAATAATCCAGTAGTGTTTTTCAACTTTTAGAATACTCCGGACAGATCTATATGGTCAGATTTTGTAAATTCCATACCTGTAATTTGCAAATTTTATTTAAAAGTATGAAGTGAAAAAATATTCTTCAAAGTGAGAGTCGAAGAATACAACAAAGAAGATGATAGAAGATGTCCCAGATATCATGGGCAGGATAAACAATAGATGGTTGTTTCCAGTAACAAAAGACAATAGCTGATTGTTCCGCACAACAGAGAACAACATATGATTATTTCCTAAGCACCGAACAACAAGTGGTTGTTCCAAGAGACATACGCCAACATGTGGTTGACAGTACTGAACCACACGAGGTTGTTCTGATAGAGAGATAGAAGTCAATAGAGGATTGACTACAAAGACCAGACAAAAGGTCATCCATGAGTAGATATGAAGTATCGTGGAGAGAATTCATCAAATTGAGTTTGAGGGAGGATGTAGGAAAGACAAACTCAATTTGAGTTTAGTGAATAAGAATTCCATAGAAGAAGAGAACAAGTAAGAGCCCGCTAGAAAGTTTAAGAGAGAAGAAGAGGAAGACAAAATGAAGAAGAAGATGAATCATTAATGAAGCTCTATTGTTGAAGCTTAAGAATGAAGAAACACTATGCACACATGATTTGTACACGGATTGAAAATCTATAAATAGATAGGTTGTATGTTTGTTTGAGATAGAGTGAGAGAAAAATATAATCTCTAGGGAGAAATACAATATCTCCAGATAAGGAAAATTCTAAGAGAGTAAAGAGTATTAGAGTTAATAGAGAGTTTGCTCTGTTTTGTATAATTTTTTTTGTGATTGAATAAAAGGAATGTTTATTTAATTAATTCCTCTCTTTGTATATCATCACAACCAGTATACACCCCTCTCTCACTTTTCCAACAGTACAAAATTAGGGCATTAGAGCATTTGTAGTTTCTATCAAATGGCTATGTTCAATACTATGCCAATGGCTTCTCACTAATATTTTCTATCATTTCTTTTTCAAACAGATAGAATTACTGGTTATTAATTAAGATAAATTTCAGTAATGGTCTCTGCTTTGGCACCACCATGTTAAAGAAGTTGGTGGCATCGTGGCCGAAGAAAGCAGTCAACCAAAATCTCTAGAGAAATATAGTCAAGCCATGAGGCACAAATATTCAGTCTTGTGACACTTCCCAAAAAAAAAAAAAAAAAAAAAGAAAAAAAAAAAAAGGGGGCTTGGAGGGGGTGGGGCAAGGTCGGGAGTATGGTCGGAGGTAAAGGAGATGGTGCTAAATGTTTGGGTAAGGAGAATTTAGGGTGGGTGGATGTAACAGTGATGATTTTAAATGTTTGGGGGTGTATAAAGAAGGTAGGAGGTTAGGGATGGTGATATTTTTAGAATTATAAATAGAAATTTTAAATTTTGGAAAATGGAGTAAATAGAAAATGGATTAATAGTGAGGAGATTAATAATTTATGTTATTAGTTTAGAATTGGTTACCCAACTAGATTATCAAGATAAATAATTTTGTCTTGTTCATGTTTATTTTGTAATGGATATGAAAATATATAATCTCAACTATATGTTGGTTTTGCATTATTAGTTGTAGATTTAAAATATTTTTCAATTTTATTGTTAGGTGTGTACTCAATCTTTTTCTTCCAAAACACACATTAATATGTGGTAATTGGACGTTATTTGTTTAGAATGTCCATCAAAATCTAATTGAGATAATAAAAATTATAACTAAATAATAAAATGTGAATCCTATAAATGAATCATTTTAATTCTATACTATAATCCATCCAATCAAATAGGCTTATAGTGTTGTCTAAATAAAAACTCCCCAAAAATATATATTAGCTTCCAAACAACTTACATAATGGACCCTAAAACCTAATAGAACACAAGTACATGCCATAAGATATTTTACTAATCTTTCTAAATATATAAAAGGAAAGAAAAAAAAAAATGAAAAAGGCCTTTAATATCTGAAATATAATATATTTTACTATTATGTTGATGAATTTAGGCTTCCCCAAAAAAGGTAAATTCCTGGGTCAGTCCCTGATAATAACAACCATAATGGGTAAACCTTAATCATATTGTAGAGGTGGAGATCATGTCGCCCATAATTGCCCAAGCTCATGCATGCATCAACATATGCTGTGATTCACTTAATTCTGTGTATCTGCTGGGAGGAAACTGTTCTATCCCTTGAGAGCCCTTCTTAGGATGTAAAGGGAGCAAAAACCACAACTGAATTGTGTCCTCCAAAGCCAAATGAGTTGGAGATAGCTATTGATCAATGGATAAATAAATAGAAACCGTATTAGTTTATATATTAATGCCCTAAAAAAATTCTTATAGATAAATTATATCAGTGGTTTTTGTAATTTGTCTTTTGTATTAATTTAGTCTCTGTAATTGCAATTGCATTCATTTGGCATTTTAATATCTCACATAGTGTCAATTTAATTCAGTTGACAACATTGGTTAAGAAATTAGACAGAAACTAAGAACAAAATAATTTATTTAAAAGGAAAATAATTTTTTCAAATTGGACACCAAACTCTCAAGGAGTCTCTAGATGCATCCTAAAAATATTGTTGCACAGTCTGCATTTGATGATTTTTTTTAATACTATTATACCTCTGCGTCAATTTATCGACAAAGACAAAAAATCTAATTCCCTATAAACCTCCATTTCTCCATATCCTCACCCGCAACCACCACCTTCACTTTTGGCCACTGCTACCTCTGATGATTTTTTTAATACTATTATACCTCTATGTCAATTTATCGACAAAGGCAAAAAATTAATTCCCCATAAACCTCCACTTCTCTATATCCTCACCCTCAACCACCACCTTCACTTTTGGCCAATACTACCTCCAGCAACCACCCCAACCCCTTCCTTACCCTCACTAGCTCCCCCACTACTCCCCATCTCCAACTGCTATTCCTTAACCCCCATTCTCCTTCTACTACAACATATGAGAGCTTTAGAGACTAAATTTTTTGGTCTTTAAAAGTAAAAATTTTGTTACAAAAGACATTTAGGGACTAATTTCTATCATCGTGAGGATAGTTGCTAAAAGGTCGTACCGAAAAGTCAAAAATAAGTCTTTTAGCGACAATTTTGAAAATGTCACTAATAAATACACTTTTAGGACAAAATAATTTGGTCTCAAAATGGTTTATTTTTTAAGATAAAAAATTTAGTCCAAAAAAGATAATAATTCATCACTAATGTCTAATTTTCGTTGCTAAAAATATAATGACAATTTTCACAATAAAAATATTTAGTCCTTAAAAAATAATTGTTCCTAAATTTTGATTTCTAAAATCTTAATTTTTTGTAGTGTTCTCACCGTCGCCAGTTCCTTCTCAATCCCTCTACCTCTGGTACGCTTGCATTTCCTTTATGCATGTGACTTATCCTTCTCTCTCTTTCTCTCTCTGTATTGGTGGTGGTGATGCTAAGGTTAAGGGTTTTGAGAGGACAAGAATGGAAGGAAATGGGATTTGCAATGGGGGAGGAAAGGGGAATGGATGACAGTGGCTTGGGGGGAAAGGGAAAAGGGGACATATGGTGGCTTAGGTGTCATGTGGGGGGAAGTTGAGGAACAGTGGAGAGTTAAGATTTTAGCGAAGGGAATGAAAATGATGATGGGTGACTAGGAAAGGATTTTAGAAATTTAAATCCCCTTTACCAATTTTTTGAAAATAATTATTATTAAGGGTGAAAATTTTTATTTATAAAATTTGTTTAGGTTTTTTATTGTGCCCTAAGGAAAATTTTCTTCATCTTACACGCCCTTTCCCAAAAAAGACTTCTTAATAAAGTCATTAGAATTTATTTAAAAAGAGAATAGAGTTGGTTGAAATTGATTCGTTGAATTGGGATTCTAACTACAGTTGAAAAATTCTCAGCCATTCATCTGTCGAAGAATGGAAGACCGGGATGAAGGTATGGAATCATTACCCCTCCCCCCCCCTCAAAAAAAAAATAATAAAATAAAAAAAAAATAAAAAAAAAAATAATAATAATAATAATAATAAAGTAATAGTTATTTTTCAAATTTGTTATAATTTTGAACATACAGTTGAAATTTCTCCTACTTCACCGCTGAATTTTTAGATTCAGCAAATCCATATTTGAGGGTTTTTTTTTTTTTGGGTTATTTAAGGTATTTTGGATCAGCTTTGGCGTATTAGATTAAGTCTCTACACTTTGAACAAACTCTTTAAAATAAATTTTTTACGGTCCACAATCTCAAGAATTTTATGTTGATTGGGAGAATTAAACCTGAAATCTAACGGGAATATATCTCTATGTCCCAAAGTCTCAAACCAATAAACCAACATTAATATTTGAGTTAAGGATAATTTTTAAGTGTGTAAGTGCATATCATATATACTTGTGTAAGTTTTCACAAATATATGTAAGTTATCTCATAAAATCTCGTAAATTTTTACAAATATACGTTAGTTAACCCAAAAAAAATTTAAGAAATCACAGCTTATGTATATTGTAAGAATTTATGTGATTTTGTAAGGTAACTTATATATATTTGTAAAAATTTACACAAATACATATGATATGCACCTTGCACCGCAAACATTACCCTTGAGTTAATTCTACGAAAAATTGATGTTTAGAGCCGGCTTTGGACCATGGTGCCTATGTTTTTCCCTTACAAAAAAGTCTAGATGCACATATGATCGAATATAGATCTAAACACAGAAATTGTGAATCCAGGTGTTTGATTGATCGGCCAGAACTTGTTGACCGTGGTTATTATGGTGCTAACCGCGACTGTCATGACATCTTCTGAACAATCAAACAATTGTCCAATGAAATAATTTTTATGTTTAATTTTGTATTTAGTATTTGATGTGCTAGCATTACTGTTTGTCCCCATTTTTGTGCTGCTAGGAATTAGGAATATTATTTACATGAAAAGAAACAAAACATACCGACATTAACATCATGCTTTTTCTTGGTGTTTGGCAGAGTGTCTATTGTAACCTCAGGTTCTAAGTTCTGCAAAAAAAAAAAATAAATAAATAAATTTGAGCAATAAACAATTAATTTCAGAAGAGACTTTAATGGAGAGATGATGGTGAGGAGAGAGGATGGAGATTTTAATGAGAAATGAATACATATTGGTTGATCGTTGGATGTAGCCAACCAGTAGCAATTGCTTTTACAGTTGCTATGGCTTCTAATGCACCAGCTGCCCCAATCGCATGTCCAACCATTGACTGCAATTTCAAAAAAGTAAAATATTTTTATTGATTTTAAAAATAAAAGAAAAATAGAAATAGGAGGTAGATTGACTGTAAGTCTATAATCTAGACTAATGGTGTTGTTGGAGTCGGTAAAATTCAGGTTTTGTTTCAATGATTTAAATTATTTAGACTTGGTTTGGGAAATGGGTTAATTTTTTTTTTTTTTGACTATTTTAACCTAGGACTAAAAAATTTGATTTGAGAAGAATTTTTAATTTTTTTAGTTTTTTTTTAAAGAAAGAATATAATGATTATGGATTGGATGTAATATTTTGTCTTATTAAGGCTAAAAAACCTATTTTATTTTTTGTAACTATTTTAGCCCCAAAATCCATCCAAACCCACTTCCCAAACAATGGCTTATTTTGTTAAAAATTTTATGTATTTATCATATACAAATTAGATCGATTTGATATTCGTAATCTATTTAATTTATTATATTTGTCACTAAAAATGAATACATAATTTATTTTTAAAAACACACTTATCGTTCATTTTTTTGTAACAAATGTGATAAATTGAATATATTATAATTATTAAATTAACTTAATTTTTTGGTGAATGACATAAGAAATAAACACACACACCCTAAAAAAAAAAAAGAGTTCAAATAATTGAAGCGGAATCCGTATTAGGTTTCATAGGTCCAAACACCGCCCTTCCAATCCAAATTATGGACCAGAGGGAATCATCCTCCTAAAAATAAAGGTATTGTTAACATGGATTCTTAGAACGCATAGTTAAATTTGGACAAATTATACCAGTAGTCCTTATATGTTGCTACTTGTGTTATTTTGATCCCTATATTTTTAATTGGCTCAATTTTGATCATAGATTTTAAATTTTGTGTCAATTTGATCCAATTGATAATATTAGGATTTTTGACAAAAATAATCACTAAATTAATTGAGATTAACTCACTGAATTGATCAAATTTACGAGTTTACCTTTAACAATTTTAATTAATTAGACCAATTTGAGACAAAATTCAAATTGAATCAATTAAAATTATATGAATTAAAATGACACAAGAGTTAAAGTACTTAAACTAATTGTTTAATTTGCCTTTTAAATTTTAAATATGCATTCTATATAAAAGTAAGTGTAATAAAAAATATTCATAAACTTAACTTAACATGTGTCTTTAAAACACACGATTAATTTATTTTTAAAAAATAAAATAGATTGAAGAGATTAAATAGGCAATTAAAAAGTAGAATTGTTTGCCTTAGTTCCATTCATCTTGATTTGGTGGAGCTGGTTCTTGAAAATCTTCTTGACTGCACTGACCTCTGCTAAATCTCCTACACGCGTCGACGTTGCATGAGCATTTATGTAATTCACCTGTATTTCATTTATCACACACCTCATATGTATTACAAATCAAAATCACCAAAGGTCATAAAAATGTTATAAATAAATAGATTTTTAATCAAATTTATTTATTATAAGACACAAAATAGTGAATCTCACAACTTACAAGTTAGATTTTATTTATTTTTATTTTATTTTTTGAGTACAAACTATACTATATAAACAAGTTTAAGTGCATATAATTTGATTACAGGATCATACGCCAACTCTGTGATCAAATTATGTGGACATACTCATATTATTGCATTTCTTTATTTTTATTTTCATGTTTTTCAAAAATAAAATTAATCAAAAGTTTGAAAATACATATGGTTTTCATTTCTGCGTAAAAATAATTTTTGAAAATTCAAACACTTTTTTTTTAAAAAAATCTTAAAGTTGGGATGTTTTCAGAAGTTTTTTCAAATATAGTTTAAGAAATCTGTCAAATTAGTTTTTTTCTTTTTTCTTTTTTTTTAAAAAAATTATATAAAATGAGAAAATAGAAAACACAAGCACAACAATCTGACAAAGGCCCTGTTTGGTACAGCTTAATTTCAGCTTATTTCAGCTTTCAGCTTAATTTAAGCTATTTTGATTTGTTTGGTTTAGCTTATAGCTTTGTGGAAGTCAGAAAACAGCTTATTCTTTAAGTGGGGCAGGAGATGCTTTAAGAATAAGCTGGAAATCAGCTTAAGCTGAAAGTTATAAGCTATAAACTGTTTAGGCATAAGTTATAAGCACTTTTCCACAGCTCTACCAAACAGGGCCAAAGACCTTGGGATTTGGCTCAATGATCTTATAGTCACACTTTAGGATATTGTGTGAGGGGGAGGTTAAGGATTCGAGCTGATGGAGTAGCGAAAAATCTTTTCTTGTAATCTAACTATATTGAACAAAAAAAAAAAAGCATGGAATAGATGAGTGGGGGACCTCTTCAGGAGAGACACCAGCATTGTAGAGGCTCTTGGAAATGCAGGTAGCAACACCAAGTCCATCAGAGCGAGGATCAGTGAGGTGATGAGCATCACATGTTATGGCTCCTCCTCCAAGTCCATCAGAGCGAGGATCAGTGAGGTGATGAGCATCACATGTTATGGCTCCTCCTAGGTATTCTGCTATTATCCTTGCTCCTCTCTTCCTTGCATGCTCCAAGCTCTCCAATACCTAAATCAACATTTTCACCATCAACTATCAATTTTCAAACAATATGCATTTTCAATGACACCTTCATTGCCATTTAAAATTTAGTGCCTATATTATTGACTAGGAATAGACTACACTAAAAAAAACTTTGCACTATGATGATACAATTGGCTCTTCTATTTTTATTTTATTGTTATTTTTTTTTTTAATAACAAGGAACCTCTCAAGGTAAGACCATATTTGATCATAGATATTAGTTAAGCCCAAGAGATATTAGTGAGTCAAGCCTAGGATGTCTGGGTTTATAGCTCATCCCAGGGTCTAGCAACCCCTTTGTTGCTAGGTTATTTGTGCATTTATATCTATTAACAGTTGAACTATGCACACAAATAAACTAAATTACTGGAGCTCCACACATGTTCGGTTCATGAAAAATTCATTCAAGATCAATTTGTTAAAATCCATTGAAAATGACTTGTTATATAAGTAAATCAACTTTAAACTCATTTCGAACCTCATTAAGTTTTAAAATAACAACCTATTACTCGACTTTTAGTGAATTTATACATGCACCAAGATACTTAAACTCAGATTGATTAAAGTCAATGAAGATCGCCTTGGTGTCCAAACCTACAAACATTCTTCTCATGTCACATGGCAGATTTTTAAATGCTAAAATAAAAAAATATTATACTACAATGCAAGTAATGTTTGAATCCAAATTCTTAAGTTTCATTAAGAATACACTTACCATTTAGGGATGGCAATGGATAACCTATCCTGTGGGTATCCATGGAGACCCAACCCAAATACATGGGTTTTCCCCTCTTTTTCTTATCCATTGGGTAGGGTAGGTGATATTCTTTAAATATCCACAGGGGATGGGTTGGGGATGGGTACCCACTAATTTCTGGGGAATGGGGAATGGAGAATGGAGAAAATTTATTATAGGGGAATGGGGATGGGGAATTAATAACCACCCCATTGCCCCCCATTGCCATTCCTATTACCATTTAAGCAATTTATATATATTATGATATTAATTTGTTTATTATTTATCTATATTCTTACTTATGTAAATTGCAAACACATCACATGTGCCACCCGCTAATGCGTGTATATATGGATACAGATATATGTATGTATGACACAACAGGGTTGTTGAGAGGTGAACTTAGCTGCAACTAGGGCTAATAAAGAGTGCTGCAGGGGAAATTGGTTGGATTGTCAAATTAATTAAAAGAATTTTATTACATATCTACTAGTATTATTATTATGTGAATGCTTCAATTGGCATAGTGAAATTTTTATTCTCTTCATGTCATGTGACAATATTTTTTATTATTATTATTTTTTTTTTTTGCAAAAAAATTACACAAAGAGATAGGTAAGATTTGAATCCATGATCTTGAGTTTAAGATAAGAAAATTCATACTACTTAAACTAAATACACATTATAACCTAAATATCTGTCTATGTCTATATTCATGGCATTAATTAATCAATTATTAAGCACTAAAAGTATACTCAGCGTTTTAAATATCAACCGATAAACATTGTACTTTTGATATTGATATTTCTTTTTTTTTTTTTGATGTTTGGATATTTGGGACAATTTGCACGTACTTCAATTAATCTTAAGAAAGTTAAGGGTTGGTTGGAGATGTTTTAAATAAATATATTTTTTAATTTTTTATAAAAAAGATGCATAAAAAAATAGAGAAGAGATGTTAATTGATTTAATCCAAATAAATGTACTTATACAAAAAAATACACTTATATAATTGAGTAATGTTAAAGATCCTAAATATTTTATCAAATGTTTCACATGAGTGTGAGACCCACATCATGTGAATCCCACACATTTATTAGTAACACCTTTAATAAAATATTTAAAATTCCTAATTTTTTTCTATATAATTTAATCCAAACAAGACTTCTGGGACCCAAAAAACCGTACACCTTTAAATCCTAAGTTACATTCAATGAGCCAACCACCTGGATGGAGTTAGATACCGATATTTATTAATGTATAGACTAACTTACACGGGCAAATTAAAAAGGGCCAAAAAAAAAAAAAAAAAGTGTGATGGTCAAGAAGAATTAGTATGACATACCAGGACAGCAGAGCCTTCACTCAAAACAAAACCATCACGATGTTGATCCCAAGGCCTAGAAGCCTTTTGGGGTTCATCATTCCTGGTTGACAGTGCTTTACAGGCCATGAATCCGCAGATACCGCTGGGAATAACTCCGGCGTCTGCTCCACCTGCTAGCATGATCTCCGCTTCCCCTTTTCTGATGTGGTTTGCGGCAGCACACAGGCAATAATTCCCGCTGGCACAGGCCGTTGAGATGGAGTAAATGGGCCCACTAAACCCCGTTTCAATGGCTAACAGTGCTGGGCCCATATTGGTTGGGTAGTAAGAGGTTAATATCTTGTTGTATTCTTGTTTCAGGAGTGCGTCTATTGCATTGCATAATGTTTTTATACCTCCTGCACCTGATCCCACCACTACTCCCATTTTTGACCTGTCTAGCTGTTTCCAATCAACCCAAACAATATTTTACTATTACTATTTAACAATGCTACACACACATACTAATGAAGGAAAGTGTTTGGGACCTCAACAAAAAGGACTCTCATGATTTTTATTAATGTATTGATCATTAATGTATTTGAATTTTCTTTTAGAATTATATCTGATAGTAACATGAATAGTTCATATCATTTTAGAGGTTGTGGAGTTGTGTTTTATAAGGATCTATATCATTACTGTACTAATGAAAATGATATATAAATATATTATTTAAACCTATTTATTAAATTTTATAATAAGTAAGTGATATGATTAATTAATAATTAAAAAAAATATAAAAGATAATTTACTTTTAATATTCTAATTAATCGTCATATCACAAAGATGGTAACTGAAACATATGATACATATCTTTTTAGAGATTTGCACCATAGAATTCGTTTTATATATATATATATATATATATATTTATTTTAAAATCATGTGTAAATAATATTGCTTTTTTGTGAGTGTGTATTAAATGATTATATATTTGTCAACTACTCATTTTTATGAGAAAATATCGAGATACTACGTACATCAATTAATGTACAAACTAGTGTACCAATACTAGTTATGACATTATTATTGATCACACTCATTATACAAATTACAAATATAAAAAATATCTTAAATTATACTACATCATTAATTGATATACTAGTTAATGCACTAATTGGTGCATATAGCATTAGTTGAAAATATCAGTTCTTGCTTAACAATTATCTTAAGGTGTAATAAATATAATCATATTTATTAAAAGAATCCATAATTTAATTTTAGATTTTAATACTAATCATAAATGTGAGTATACTTTTTTTTAGTGACGATTTTAATCTTCATGTAAAATCAAATTTTAAAATTTCTTGCTTCTTAACTAAATAAATAAAATAACATATTCTCAACTAAATGACATTGTGCACTTTTGTATATTTTTTCATATCTCATTTTTATATGCCTAGGAGTATGTTTGGTTCAAGTTCTTACAAATTAAAAACTAATAATTAAAAAAAAAAAAGTTAAAAATACTCATTTATTTATTTTCTAAACTTGTATGTCAATAAAAATGCACCAAACACTCTAATATAAATTTTAAAAAAAAAATTATATACCATTGTATAAAATTACACCAAACAAATCCTAATTTGCATGTATTTTATAGAGAAAAATGGTTGACTTAGGTGATTGGGTTATGGTGGTGATGGTGGTGATGATGGTGGTAGAGCCAAGTGATGGAAGTGGAAGTACATACTTACATTTTTAATGACTTGAGGAGTAAGGTTGGCATCTTGGAGAGCTGTCTTTGCTGCAAACAATGAATACTTCCAGCAGTCATCAATATTCTGATATTTCTCCAAGTCGACATAGCCGTCGCCGGAGAAACCTCGGACCTGGCCAGCAATCTGTACAGGATATTCTGAAGCATCGAACTTGTCGATTAAGCTTATCCCACTCTCCCCATTGAGAAGTTTTTCGTAGAATGAATCCACGTCGTTTCCAAGCACAGAGACTAGCCCCATTCCCGTTATCACGATTCGTTTCTTCGGATCTTTTTCTCGTTTCGGTGCTGATGTTGTTAGGGAAGCCGCCATTGTTCTTCTCAGTTGTCTCTTCTTGTTCTGTCCTCCTGAGGATGACAAGAAAAATTAATACAAGTTCATATGAATAATAATGACGAGTAATAGAATTATTAAAGACATTTAATTTTAATTTTTTTAATGTATGAGAGTGTTAAAAACTTGCCCAACATTCTATTTCTAAATCACTAAACCATGGTTTATATAGCCTATCTATTTATTGTCAATTGGTTTGAGTTTAACATCTCTAAATTTTGAGATGGTGCTAGAGTTGAGTCTTCTGTAGTATTTTAGTGGGTTCTGTCTCTAAAATTCTGACGTAGCGTCAGTGTTGAGTTTTGCCAAATTTTTCACTGAATATTTTTTAAATTTTAAATATTTTTTTTACTTTCTTAAATGCTCTTTAGTTAGATGTATCTAAAAAGTAAAAAATTTATAAAAAAAAATATTTTAAAAAATTAATAAATACATAAAAATACAAAAAATGTACTGAATTCTTGTATTTTTTTTTTATATTTTTGGTATTTAGTGAATTTTTAAAAGATTTTTTTTACAATTTTTTTTACTTTTTAGGTGTATTTATGTTAGGTGTGTCTAAAAAGTAAAAAAATTGCTAAAAATATTTAAAAAGTTTAGTAAAAACAAAAAAACACGAAAATAAGAATGTAGAATTTTCTGAAAAGTGTTTTCTGAAAAATGAAAACAAACAATATGTTTATGAATCATAATTATTTTGGGTGTAGCCCACTTCCAACCAATTTTTAATCTACATAATTAACTCACATTTGGAGTGCTTTTTGGGGCAAAAATCCATCATATATATCATTTTCTCCTCTGGCTCAAGTTTAGTTCTCTTATAGACGCAGGTAGGGTGGTGATTAAGAGCTCTAATAATAGAGCTCTAATAAGAGCACTAAGTGACATGGCAACCTAAAAAATAAAAATAAAAAAGTAAAACAAAGGCAAAAATATCAAATCATACAGTGGAACCCACAAGTTAGAGCTCTTCTAGAACTCACAATTTAGAGGTTTCAAGCATTTTTCGACGCGGGTATGGAACAATGTTAAAGATTTGTTGAGTGACACCAAAAGTCTAACCACGAATTTTGGATGACACCGAATGTCTACCAACTATTGTTGAGTTGGAATTTAGTAATGGACATAAATGGCAAAATGATAAGTCTATAAAATCATTCATTAATGGCATTAAAAAGATTATTTAATTTAACCATAGTATGTACGTACATTAAAAATTAAAACACAACTCTGTATAGTTTCACTACATGTTTAATGAAAAAATTTATGTTTTTAATTATTAATTCTTATATAGTTTACCACTTATTTGTAATTTTTTTTTTTTAAAACCTACACGGCATTGAAATTTCCCCTTAAAACTGTGGATACACAAGATTTTAATTAGGTTTGCGCAATTAGTAGTTTAGCCGCAACAAAATTTTCTCGCGTATTTGTTCTAGCATTTCCTTTTTATAAATCTTGGTAGATAAGCACAATTTTGTTTGAGTTTTTGTTTTCTGTTTTTATATTTTATTTAAAAAAATTATTTATGAAAATACAAAAAGCGAAAATAAAAAAATTTAAAACACAACTAATAAAGTGTTCCACTTTTTTAAAAAGAAGAGAAAGGACGGCACAAAACAAAACAACAATTGATAAAAGTGTTCCACTTGTTAAAAGTGTTCCACTTTTAAAAAGAATAGAAAGAACAAGACAAAACAACAAATAAAGAGAGATAAAAAAAAAAAAAAAAAAAGGCCATACATTAACATTAACATTAACTATATAATAAATTAAAAATTAATACATATTTTGTTATATTAAATATATTTTTTGAGATCTCAAACATTTTCGGCGAAGTTAATGCTCTTTTTTAAAGTAAGGTCACACATTCTCTCATATATATAGAGAGAGAGAGAGAGAAATGAGAATCCTAGCTGTGACAATGAGGATGGAAAAAGAGAGAAGTGAGAATACCCACTTGAAGAAAGCAAGCTAGGAAATGGCATATTATAGAGACTCCTGCTACTAGTGTTGTTCATGCTGCTTCTCAACTGCAAATGACTACAAGCAAAGAAGCTCCCTCCAATCTCTGCCATCTTTCTCAACCTTTGTTTCTTTTTTACTCTTTCAACTCACTCCTTTACTTTTATCTCATATCTCAATCTCTATCTATCTATTTATATATACTTGAGTGAGTTTTCAGTCTTCGGTGTGAGTGAGTGAGTGAGTGTGTGTGTGTGAGAGCGCGTGTGAGAATTCAAATTTAGATGCAAACATTTAGAGCATTAATTAGCACATGTGGAGCATTAATAAAGCATATGTTCAAAAAATAAATAAATAAATAAATAAAAATAAGCACATGAACACCCCGCATCCAACGGTCCAACTGTCTTTTTTGGACAACACCTGATAGAGTTCTCAATTGTCAATTAACAAGCGTTATTCGAATGCAAGATTTCTATTATATATCTAACTAGCGTAAAATCTGTATTATGTATGGAAAGTTTAAAATTTTATTTTAGAATTAAAAAATAACAAAAATTTTATAGATTTATTAAAAAAATATTTTATACCATCATAATATATATTTTTAATTTTTAATATTTTATTAAAAATATTTGGATTTGTGAAAAAATTAAAATTGGACAGAGAGAGAAGGAGAGAATTATGTGGTTTTGATTGAGGTGCAAATTTGATATATAATGTTAGTAAATTTTGATTATAGTAAGAAGTTAACATGGTGATCAAATTTAATGTGGAATAGGTAGGTAATTCAAAATTGGCAAGGAATTTTTTTGTGTGTATCTGTTTTACCTTTTTTTTTTTTTTGAACGATGAAGCAAATGATCTTTATTGATGAAACATTCGACGTATGACAAAATACATCAATAAAGAGGAGCTTGAACGACGTATCTGTTTTACCTTAGTCTTACTCTGACTTTGCTACTGTATATGTTGCTTTCTAGTGCATTGGTGAGAATTATGTAAGGATTATTTTTTAAGGCAAGGCTGCTAATATTGTGGTTATGTTGCTAAGAAGGAAAGACCCTCTCGATTTGTTAGATATTCTTGTGGATGATACTTTGATTACCTTCTTATAAAATCTTATCATGTTAACAAAATGATGCATTAAACAACTTGAAAAAAAAAAAAGTCTTAATTATTAGTTTTGCATCTTAAAAAGTATGAAAATTCATTTTAATTAAAAAATTATAATTAAAATTTGTATTTTTTATTTTCTAGATTAACAAAGTTGATTTGAACGTGAATTCCCCCCCCCCCCATGCAAGTCTTCAAAATAATAATAATAATAATAATTTATGCTTGATTCATCATATTCATGATTATCCTTTCAGTCATTTTAATGCTTTAAAGAAAATTCTTGAGCTTGACTAATTGAAGCCAATCTCACCCCATGACTTAAATCAATAAAATCTTAAAATCAATTTAAAAAATCTTATTTATTTATAAATTAAATAATTCGAAAAATATTAGCATATCTTGATTATATTTCCTTATCTCTATCTTATAGGATTAGGCATATAAAAAACAAATTTATAATATTTAGGTTGAGTAAGTCATTCAACTTGTTTCTATAATTCTGTGGTACTTGAGGTTGTATGCCATTTGTGAATCTTTAAAATTAGTTAGAGATTTGAAGAAATTATGAACGAATGATATCAACATCAAATTTGTTTGTGCCAAAAAAAATTTAATTTTTAAAATAATCCAAGATATAATGATCATAGTCATGTACCTATAATATTACTCATATAAATGATGACAAAATAATCAATAGACATGTCAACCAATTTGCTAGACAAATTAATGTTCAAATATTGCAAGCAATTTCAAAAGAAAAAAAAAAACAATTATCAAAGTATTATCGAAATAATGGGTATGTACCAAAGCTAAAAAGTAAGTCTGGGCATAGGGTTATCCGAACCGCCCAAACCGCCCTACCCGATCCGAACCGCGCACATATGGGCGGTTTCGCAAACACATTAGGGTAGGGTGCAGTTTGGATTTTATGTAATTTTCGGGTTGCGGGCGGGTTGCGGGTTTAACCCGCACCCGCCCAACCCGTCCGCATAAAACACTTTTTTTTTTGGGGTCAAATCTAACTGTTAAAAAAAAAACCTTTTTTTTTTCCCTTCAAATCTGACCGTTCAAAAAAGAAAACCCTAATTAATCTTATCTATCTCTCACTCTATCTATCTCATTCTGTGTCTCTCATTCTCACGCTCACTCTCACTCTCGCGATTTTCATCTCCACTGCCTACACCCACTGATCGACTCTCTCTGTCTTCGCAAGATGGACTAATCGACCGATCAACCGATCGACCTCATCGCACACCTCACAGGTAAGCTCCTCTCTGAATCTCAGTCTCTGTCTATGTCTCTCTCTTCCCGATCTTTGTGTCTCTGATCTGTCTCCCTCCCTTACTCTCTCATCTCACAATCTCTCACTCTTTGGCTTTTCATCTACTACACCGATCGACTCTCTCTCATTACAAAATCGACCGATCGATTGACTCTATCATCACACCAATCACAAGTAAGCCTCTCTCTCTCTGTCTTTCTCTCTCTCACTCTCCCCAATCTTTGATCTGTCTATGTTTGGAGAATCAGTTGATAGATTTGTTTTGGATCTGTTCATTAATGTGGTATTGGATTGATGGAGGACATTTTTTTTGGAGTCTATTTTGAATCTGCAACAGATCTGTATTTTTTGTTATGTTATTTGTTGATAGAGGACATTAAATCTGTTTTTGGAATTAATCTGTTTTAAATCTGTTTAATTTGTGGAATCTATTTAATTTGTATTGAATCTGTATTAAATCTGTATTGAATCTGTTTTAAATCTATTTGTGGAATCTATTTAATTTGTTTTAAATCTGTATTGAATCTGTATTAAATCTGTTTTAAATCTATTATTTAATTTTTGGAATTAAATCTATCTGTGTCAGTATAATCTGTTTTTTTAGAATTAAATCTGTGAAATTAAATCTGTTAACTTGATTCAATCTGTTAACTTGAATCTGTGAAATTTGATATGAATTTGTTTGATCTGAAATTTGATATGAAATTTGATCTGAATTTGTTATTAAAATTAAATTAAATCTAAATCTATTATTAAAATTAAATCTGAATCTGTTAGTAAAATTTAATCTGAAATTGAATCTGTTAATCTGAATCTGTAAATCTGATGTAAATTTTAATGTAAATTTTTTTAATCTTCTCTTGTTGACTTCTAATTAGGTACTTTGGAGTCAAGCTCATCTTCAACTTCAACCTATAATGTTGATGCTATAATTGATGTCTAATATCCATTTGGTCATTGGTAATTTTTTCATATACTCAACACATTTTCTTACTATATTGAAATGCAATATATAGACTTTTGTTTATCTTTTCATTTCTTACTATAATTGAAGATTAAAGTTTATACTTTTTCAATTTGTTTTTGTGTAGGGTTCCAAATGCATGGAATTGGAATTTGTGAAAGTTGAATTGGATGTGATTCATGAAGATGAAGTTTGATATCTTAGATGAAGTTGAAGTTGAATTGGATGTGTTTTAATTTTATTTCATGGGTTTGTATTGAATGAAGTTTGACAACAATTTTTTTTTTATTATTTGCGTTTTGGTTTTGGATGAATGTAAGTTAATGAATTTTTATTTTTTTTTTGCATTTTGGATGAATGTAAGTTAATGAAGAATTACTTCTTTTTTTTTAGGGGAGTTAGGAATGATGAATGTTAAATTTTCAATGTAGGATTTTTTTATTTGGGTTATGAATGATGAATGTAGGATGAATGTAAGTTAATGATGAATGTAGATTTTGAATAATTTGTTTAGGTTACGAATTGAATTTGTTGTGTTTTTTATTTTATAAGTTTTTTATAAGTTTTAATTTATTAATTATTAATGTTGGAGTATTTTAAAAAATATGAGGAAAAAGGTCCAAAATAAAGATTGACAAAATGGGGGGGGAAAAAAAAGGTTTAAAAATAAATTTTTGGAAAAAAAGTTCAATCCGCAAACCGCCCGCAACCGCCCGCACATCCGCGAATCCTATCCGCACAAACCGCAAACCGCATTGCGGGCGGTTGCGGGTTGACTTTTTCCCAAACAGCATAGATGCGGGCGGATCCAAACCGAACCGCAAACCGTCCCAAACCGAACCGCGGACACCCTTACTAAAAAGTAACATGATTGGATATTCATATTTGATAATATATATATATATATATATATTTGATTGGCAAAAGAAAACTTTATTGATGAAACATATACAAAATATGATGAAGTACATCAATAAAGAGGAGTTTGGAGCTGGATCAAGCTCCAACCTCCAAGTTGGAGAGGAACCAACAAACAGATCAAAAGCAAAGACAAACTACAAGAATTAACCACTCAACAACAGCATCCAATAGCATCTCAACCCATCAAGTAACAAACTGAAAAAAACCAGCAAACAAAACCCCGCAAACAAAAATAGCCAAGAGTTGCAGCCACTGCTGAGCATAGCGGACCAAACAGATCACTTTAACCATCACCACTCTTAATAGGCACCAAGACTATGCAGCCAAAAAGACTTCACAGTAGAGAACCAGAGTTCACCCAACATCTCCACAGCTATATACACCAGAAGTTATCTCCAACCATCAACATCAGCAAATATCATCACAATCTAGTAAACAACAAGCAGCAACAGATAGCAGAAGCTCCAATCAACAAAAAATAACCAAAAATTGCAACCTAGCAGCTGTAACAAATACAGGACAAATAACAACAGGATAACCCTTCCAGCCATCAAAACAGATCAACCATCTTTAACCAACTTGACAGTTCAACAACCACTCTTATTAACAAATGCAGAACTCAATAACGACCCCTGATTTGCCTCCAATTGAGAATAACATCATTGACTGAGAAGGGGAAGTCCTTAAGAGAGGCTTTGAGCCAAAAGGTTAATCTGATCTTGATGAGTTCCCATAGGTCAGTCGAGTTAGGATGGACATTAGTGAAGACACACTCATTCCTATGCTTCCAAAGAGACTAGAGAACTATTAGGGGAATGGCTCTTCAAAATTTTTTGAGTAAACACTTGTATTTCGCCCCATCCACCAGGTGAGTAAACCTGCCACAAATTCTGGA